GCCTATTAGACAAGATCATCTTGGATTTAGAAAGCCTTGACTACTTTTTTTTCTCCCCCTTTGTCCTATTTTAACCATTCTGAGGGGTGTGTAGTTCAATAATATTAAGTATGTTCATATTCCTGTGCAACCATCACTATCATCTGTCTTAAAAACTCTCATCTTACAAAACTGAAACTCTGTGCCCATTAACAATAACTCCTCATTCTCTCCTCTCTCCAGCCCCTGGCAACCACCATTTTACTTTCCGACTGTGATTCTGACTGCTCTAAGTACTTTATGTTGGTGAAATAATACACTGTTTGTCTTTTTGTTACTGGCTTATTGCACTGAGGCAAGGTCCATCCATGTTGTGAGAATTTCCTTCAGTTTTAGGGCTGAGAAATATTGGTTTGTATGTATATATCACATTTTGTTTATCCATTGACCTGTCAATGGACAAAAATGCCTTGATACTTTTTTAAAAGATTTCCCTGAAACAAAATATTTTTATATATCCTTAAGTTCAAAGAGATTTTTACCACCTGGGAGCAAGGAGCCATAGTTTGAATTAGGATGCCAGAGAGGTACATTTTCTCTTGTGAGTAGGAGGAATAGAAAGAGGACCATTGCATAGTCAAATTTATTTCGAGCTGACCAATTTCAGGGAAGAGCAAAATGGAAGTTGAAATTTGGAAATCAGTTTACTTGAAACTGCAAGTGCTGGCCAAGCACGGTGTCTCACACCTATAATCCCAGCACTTGGGAGTCTCAGGCAGGCAGATCACCTGAGGTCAGGAGTTCAAGACCAGCCTGGCCAACATGGTAAAACCCCATCTCTACTGAAAATACAAAAATTAGCCAGGTGTGGTTGTTCATGCCTGTAATCTCAGATACTTGGGAGGCTGAGGCAGAGGTTGCAGTGAGCCAAGATTATGTCACTGCACTCTAGCCTGGGCAATAGAGTGAGACTCCATCACAAAAAAAAAAAAAGAAAAAAAAAAACTGCAAGTGCACCTGGTTGGTCTTCCAGGATGTTCAGGGATGACTACCACATTCTGAAGGCTTCTGCTCTATTCTGTTTGTTTTATCCAAAGACTCCAGCTGTTTGTCATGATATCTTGTAAATGACTCTTCCATCAGTTTCTAAGATCCCCTAAAGTCACTGGTGGTTTCATTAACCAAAAGCACACAAGCAACGATCCACTGGGCAAGATCAAATACCTCTACTATTGGCCTACCGAAGGAGGAGAAGTCATTCTTTATTCAACCTTGCTGCGGCAGTCAGTGTCCAAATCACAGAGAAAACGACTGTTTAGTTGAGTCTCGATGTGGAACTTGGATTTTATCTAGTAGGAAACCCCAGGAAATTTGTTTGTGGGTATATATATATATACACACACACACACACACACACATATATATGAAATTTTTTTTTTTTTTTTAGTCAGAGTCTCACTCTGTTGCCAGGTGCCAGGCTGGAGTGCAGTGGTGCGATCTCGGCTTACTGCAACCTCTGCCTCCTGAGTTCAAGTAATTCTCCTACCTCAGCCTCCCAAGTAGCTGGGACTACAGGCACACGCCACCACACCTAGCTAATTTTTGTATTTTTAGTAGAGACGGAGTTTCACCATCTCTACTAAATTGGCCAGGATGGTCTCAATCTTGACCTCGTGATCTGCCCTCCTCAGCCTCCCAAAGTGCTGGGATTACAGCCACCGGACTTGGTCAAGTGGGTATATATTTTATCTAGTTCACTTGATTTTACAACTTATTTTTCTAAGACATCTCACTCTGCCACCCACGCTGGAGTGCAGTGGTGCAATGTCAGCTCGTTGCAGCAGTTCGTACCTCAGCCTCCTGAGTAGGTGGAATTACAGGTGCTTGCCACCACACCTGGCTGATTTTTGTATTTTTAGTAGAGATGAGGTTCTCCTGGCCTCAAGTGATATGCCCACTTTGGCTTTCCAAAGTGCTGGGATTACAGGTGTGAGCCACCACGCCAGGCCTACATCTTATTCTATATACCTCATGTTTGTCTCTCATCAGCCTTGGATATGAGAACATCTGGTAGAGCCTACCTCAGCCACAAGCCCAGAAAGTGATCTCTGTGACTTTGTAACCTTGGCCTGCCTATAACTTGTCCACAGCTTTCTAGACAGAGAAACTAAAATTCCCACCTTGCCTGCATACAGCTGCCTGTGGGCCAAAGAATCACACACCAGGAAGTTGATCCTTTTGCAAGCCCCTCTGTGAAGCCCACTGTGGGGTGTGCATGGCAACATATTCAAGCTTATGTACAAGGCATTTGAGGTCGGGGCATGGAATAAATTGAGGCACTGAGTGCATGTTATTTGTGCATGAGAACAAAATTCCTGGACCCTGAAAACAGGACAGGGAGTGGAGTGTGTGATGTGATAACGCTGAAAACAGCCTGTTGAGAATGTGGTTTGAGTATTGTACAAGGTCATATTGTCTCATGACCTGACCTCAAAAAGCCATCTAGTGGATGTTTGTAGTTAATACAAGCCCTTTCAATAAATACTTGGCAGAGGGATGCTGAGGCCGACTCTCTCAGAAGAGCTGCTCCCCAACTCCGCTCAGCTAGAATTAGTCTAAGTACTTCATTCTTAGCATTCACTGCAAGCTATAAGCTTTGCACCCACCTGTGACCCAGGAGGCCTGCACAGAGCTGCTGCTCCCTTTGGAAGCCTCCAACTTTGCACTGCCCATGCTCTCTGAAGGCCTTCTGTAAGTGGGATATGAATGCCTTCCCAGTTTAATCTTTGGGTATTTTTCCTCATCCCTAAGGTAACATATAAAGTTTCCTTATGTCTTTTTTTTTTTTTTTTGAGACGGAGTTTCGCTCTTGTTACCCAGGCTGGAGTGCAATGGCACGATCTCGGCTCACCGCAACCTCTGCCTCCTGAGTTCAGGCAATTCTCCTGCCTCAGCCTCCTGAGTAGCTGGGATTACAGGCACGCACCACCATGCCCAGCTAATTTTTTGTATTTTTAGTAGAGACGGGGTTTCACCATGTTGACCAGGATGGTCCCGATCTCTTGACCTCATGATCCAGCCGTCTCAGCCTCCCAAAGTGCTGGGATTACAGGCTTGAGCCACCGCACCCAGCCTCCTTATGTCTTAAGTTATTATTTTTTTATAGAAAGATGTTCATTATTATTAAGACTAGATTACAAAATAATGCATATACTATGATCTAACTTTTAATAAAAAATATAAAAAGTATGTAAATGATGTTGCAGAAAGCAAAAAAAAAAAAATTTAAAGAAAAAAATATCAAAAACAGGCTGGAGGCAGGGCTCACATCTGTCATCCCAGCACTTTGGGAGGATTGCTTGAGACCAGGAGTTCAAGACCAGCCTGGGCAGCATAGTGGTGAGACACTCACTTCTCCAACCCTGTGTCGTCAAAAAATAAAATAAATAACAAATTAGCCAGGCCAAGTGTCTGCCCGCACCTGTGGTTCTAGCTACTGGGGAGGCTGAGGCTGGAGGATTGCTTGAGCCTAGGGGGCAGAGGTTGCAGTGAGCCATGATAGCATCACTGCATTCTAGCCATGATAGCATCAATGCATTCTCTGCATTCACCACAGGAGATCCTATTTTGAAAAATAGTAATAGTAATAAAATAATAATAATGAATAATGTTTAGTTTTTGTTTTGTTTTGTGGGGTTTTGTTTTTGAGACAGGGTCTCGCTCAGTTGCCTAGTGGTGCAGTCTGGGCTCACTGCAACCTCTGCCTCCTGGGTTCAAGTGATTCTCCTGCCTCAGCCTCCCAAGTGGCTGGGACGACAGGTGCACACCACCATGCCCAGTTAGTTTTGTATTTTTAATAGAGACAAGGTTTCATCATATTGGCCAGGCTGGTCTCAAACTCCTGGCCTCAAGTGATTCACTGCCTCAGCCTCCCAAAGTGCTGGGATTACAGGCATGAGCCACCATGCCTGGCCTATGTATTTGATACTTTTTATAATTAGAACAAAAAAACTGCCACACTTGTTTTACCCTTCAATTAGTCAAACCTTTCCTCTCTGAAAAAGGCTGTGAATTCCAAAAGGCTGGACATTTAACCTACAACCGAGGGATTCTTCTAATTAGCCATCATGAATATTTTCTTCACAAATATATTTGAACTCCTTTTGATTTTTGTTGTTGTTGTTTGAGACAGAGTCTCGCTCTTGTTGCCCAGGCTGGAGTTTTATGGCGCAATCTCGGCTCACTGCAACCTTCGCCTCCCGGGTTCAAGTCATTCTCCTGCCTCAGACTCCTGAGTAGCTGGAATTACAGGCGTGTGCCACCATGCCCGGCTAATTTTTGTAATTTTAAGTAGAGACGGGGTTTTACCATGTTGGCCAGGATTGTCTCAATCTGCTGACCTCCTGATCCACCCTCTCCGGCCTCCCAAAGTGCTGGGATTACAGGCGTAAGCCACCACACCCTGTCCAAATCTGTTCTTATTTTCAGCTTTTAGTTTTGTTTTCTTTTCTTTTGGTTTTTTGTTTGTTTGTTTGTTTTGTTTTTGAGACGAAGTTTCACTCAGTAGCCCAGGCTGGAGTGTGATCTCGGCTTACGGCAACCTCTGCCTCCAAGGTCCCAGTTCAAGCAGTTCTCCTGCCTCAGCCTCCCGAGTAGCTGGGATTACAGGCACGCATCACTATGCCCAGCTAATTTTTGTATTTTTAGTAGAGACAGGGTTTAACCATGTTAGCAAGGCTGGTCTTGAACTCCTGACCTCGTGATTCGCCCGTCTCGGCCTTCCAAAGAGCTGGGATTACAGGCATGAGCCACCAAGCCCGGCCTCCAGCCTTTAGTTTTCATAGACAAACAGAAAGTGACAGTGTGTCAGATTACAGATTACAAAGATCTAATAAGGCAAACTTTGATCAAATTCATTGATCGTAGGTGACTACCCGGCGATAAGGATTGCAGGGCCTGAAAAAGGGCAAAAGATGACCTTTAGTAGGGGCTCCCAACCCAGAACCACAGGAAATCAAATAGCCCGCAAGAACTAGTAAAGAAAACACACAACTGGCCTTTGGCGCGATCACCTATCTCCCTCACCAGGAAAGTAGCTCCGAACAGCCAATCAGCGGCGACGCTGGACGTAGACATGCTACGCCGTCACATTAAAGCAAAATGGCTGCGCCCTGCGGATTCTGTCTTGTTGCCTAAGTTTTTTTTTTGCCCTTCCCTCCTGTCAGGTTCAAAGTCAGATTTTCTCCCAGCATGTTCTCCTTCCGAGGATGTGGCGGTCGGGTCGCGGCTTCTTTCACCAAGAGGCATTTTCCATTGCCCCGATTGGGCAGTGACAGCGCGGAGCCCCGGACTCCACACTTCGACGTGATAGTCATTGGTGGAGGACATGCCGGGACTGAGGCAGCCACTGCAGCCGCTCGGTGCGGCTCTCGGACTTTGCTTCTCACGCACCGCGTGGACACTATCGGTGAGGAGCTTGGGTTCTGTGGAACTTGTGTAGGACCCAGGCTGCTTCCTTCCCGCCTCCCCGGGTCTGAAGTGGGGGACCTCTTCCCTCCCTCAAAGCTAGTGAGAATCCTACCTTCTGTGGTTTTAGACTCGATCAGTGTCTCGCAAGAATCAGGCGGGCCTGGCCAGAACTCTGGATTAGCCTATTGTGCGAACCACAGATTGTACTGCTGCTGATAATAGTCCGTTGTGGGAGGTTGGGGATTGGGGTCCGTGCCTTAGGAAAGGGAGAAACTTCAAGAATACTCCCTGGTAGCTTCTTAGTTCATTGCTGCGTTTGCCTTTGAATATGTTACTTTAGATAAAGGGTGAATTAACATTATTAACAATCGTTTATGGCCAGGCTCACTCCTTTAATCCCAGCACTTTCAGAGGCCAAGGCGGGTGGATCACCTGAGGTCAGGAGTCTGAGACCAGCTTGGCCAACATGGCGAGATTCCGTCTCTACTAAAAATACAGTGATTAGCCAGGCGTGGTTGGCTAACCCATAAGTGGGTGCCTGTAATCCCAGCTACTCGGGAGGCTGAGGCAGGAGAATCGCTTGAATCCCGGGGCGGGGGAAGGGAGGGGTGGAGGTTGCAGTGAGCTGAGATCGCGCCACTTCACTCCAGCCAGGGCAAAAGAACGTAACTCCATCTCAAAAAAAAAAAAAATAATAAAAAGATAAATCGTTTATTAAATGGTCCTTGTGTTTTTATTTTTAAAAATATTTTTCAGAGACAGGGTCTCTCTATATTGCCCAGGCTGGGGTGCAGAGGCTATGCACAGGCATTGCCCGTTACAGGCTTCGCCAGAAGTTTTCCTGCCTGGGCCTAACGAGTAGCTGGGATTGGAGATGCGCAGCACCCTTCCCAACCTGATCTTTGTGTTTCTGTTAAGATTTTGTGACGCCCTTTTGAAGAACCATGCTACTTTTTGCTTCCTATATTCCTTCTGGGTGTCGTCCCTGGATTTTGTGCTTAGTACTCGGACAGTACTTTCTTTGGGTACTGGTTGTATGGTAATGGGTAATGGTTGTATGACCATTCTGTAGCATCATGATAGATAGTGGTGAAAACATCAACTTGTAAATTATATATGCCTCTGTCTTTCCTCCTGCCTTTTTCTTAGGAGCGAGCAGTAATTAGAATATGTACTTGTTTTGTAAAAGTTGTGAATGAATCACGTGTTTATTTTCAAAATCTTTTTTTTTTTTTTTTGAGACGGAGTTTCGCTCTTGTTACCCAGGCTGAAGTGCAATGGCACGATCTCGGCTCACCGCAATCTCCGCCTCCTGGGTTCAGGCAATTCTCCTGCCTCAACCTCCTGAGTAGCTGGGATTACAGGCATGCACTACCATGCCCAGCTAATTTTTTGTATTTTTAGTAGAGACGGGGTTTCACCATGTTGACCAGGATGGTCCCGATCTCTTGACTTCATGATCCACCCGTCTCAGCCTCCCAAAGTGCTGGGATTACAGGCTTGAGCCACCGCGCCCGGTCGATTTTTTTTTTTTTTTTTTTTTTTAAGATGGGGTTTCACCATGTTGGTCAGGCTGGTCTTGAACTCCCGACCTCAGGTGATCCGCCCGCCTTGCCCTCCAAAGTGCTTGGATTATAGGCATGAGCCACCACGCCCGGCCTATTTTCAAAATATTTCTTTAGAATTACCATTCAGCTCATAGCTATGAAGAAATATATACTATTAAATGAGGTTTTGTGGGTGGGGGACAGGAGGCTATATGATTTCCCAAAAGATTATACTTTTCTCATTATACATTTCAGTGTGGGGTTTTTTTTTTTTGTTTTGTTTTTGAGATGGAGTTTTGCTTTTGTTGTCAGGCTAGAGTGCAGTGGTGGCACAATCTCTGCTCACTGCAACCTCTGCCTCCTGAGTTCAAGCAATTATCCTGCCTCAATCTCCCTAGTCACTGGGATTACAGATGCCACGCCCGGCTAATTGTTTGTATTTTTTTTTAGTAGAGATGGGGTTTCATCTTGTTGGCCAGGCTGGTCTCAAACTCCTGACCTCAGGTGATCCACCCACCTGGGCCTCCCAAAGTGCTGGAGTTACAGGCGTGGGCCACCACACTCAGCCTCATGTTTACATTTTTAAAAAATAAAGACCTGGTGCTCACTTTAGCAACATACATACTAAAATTGGAATAATGCAGAGATTAGTATGGCCCCTGCACAAGGAGGACGCACGAATTTGTGAAGCGTTCCATATTTTAAAAATAATAATAATAAAGACCTAGGTCAGGGTTGGTTGCTAATACTTGTAATCCCAGCATTTGGGGAGCTCAGGAGTCTTCTAGTTGAAAGGAAGAAGGAGGAAAATAATCTACCACAGCTGTCATTCCTGTTTTTAAGGTAGAGAGACTGAGGTATATTAGGTAACTTGCCATGATCACAGAGCTCATAAGTGGTACATCTAGAAATTGAGCCAGATCTCTTTCTCTTTGTTTATTTCTTCTTTTTTTTTTTTTTTTTTTTCTGAGACAGAGTCTCACTATGACTTCAGTCTGCCATACAGTGGTGCGATCTCGTCTCACTGCAACCTCGACTCCCTGGTTCAAGCGATTCTCCTGCCTCAGCTTCCCAAGCAGCTGGGACTACAGGCACATACCACCATGCCCAGCTAATTTTTATATTTTTAGTAGAGACGGGGTTTTGCCGTGTTGGCCAGGATGGTCTCGATGTCCTCATCTCATGATCTAGCTGCCTTGGCCTCCCAAAGTGCTGGGATTACAGGCATGAGCCACTGCCCCCGGCCGAACCAGATCTCCTTCACACATACTCCTCATAATGACGCACTTCATGCTGATAATCACAGTACTTATCCAGCCTCACTGTGGAGATCATTAAAATTTTTGGAGGCTTTGATGGTGGTGGCAGTGGATATGTGGATTAGACCCAACTTGCCATCACTCCACCTCCCATAAAAACCTTTGAGGTAACCACATGGGATTAGACCTCCAAGTAAGACTGGGTAAATGTAAGAGGAAGGTTATTTGCAAAGGTATATGCCACAACTGAAAAAAAATAAAGAAAATAAATAAATAAAAGATATGAGGAAAGTATCCAATATGGTCTCCACTTTCAAGAAATTTGTAATTTCATTATATTCTGCGAAGTGAGTACAAAAAGAAAATATCAGATGACATTTATGGAAGACGTAATTGCTTGTAACTGAACCAGTGCCAAGGGGCTTGTTTGTTTTTGTTTTTGTTTTTTTCTTTTTTGAGACAGAATCTCTCTCTATTGCCCAGACTGTAGTGCAATGGCGGGATCTCGGCTCACTACAACCTCCACCTGGTGGATTCTAGCAATTCTCCTGCCTCAGCCTCCCAAGTAGCTGGGATTACAGGCACACCCTGCTATGTCTGGCTAATTTTTATGTATTTTAGTAGAGACGCGGTTTCACCATGCTGCCCAGGCTGGTCTCAAACTCCTGATCTCAGGCAATCCTCCTGCTTCGGCCTCCCAACATGGTAGGATTACAGGCATGAACCACCACGCCCACCCCTGGTTTTTTGTTTTTGTTTTGTGCTTATTTATGTTAAAGCACTAGGGACTTCTTACAAGTGTCCTTGATTTAGTAGATTCCTCTGGTGCTGTCTCAAAAAAGAACAAGTAAATAAATAAAATGAATTATACTTGATTTAGGAAGGTTTCATGGGGTAAGGATTATACATTTGAAAGGAAAAAGCAACCAACCTAGTGAAACTAAAAATATGCATCAAGGAAGAGATTCAAAAGGAAGTTCAGGCCAGGCAAGGTGGCTTACACCTGTAATCCCAGCACTTTGGAAGGCCAAGGTGGGCAGATCATCTGAGGTTGGGAGTTTGAGACCAGCCTGATCAACATGGTGAAACCCATCTCTATCAAAAATACAAAAATTAGCCAGGTGTGGTGGCAGGCACTTGTTATCCCAGCCATCAGGAGGCTGAGGTAGGAGAATTGCTTGAACTCAGGAGGCAGAGGTTGCGGTGAGCCGAGATTGCACCATTGCACTGGGTAACTGAGTGAGACTTCACTTCAAAAAACACAAAAGAGAATTCAGGCAGTGGTTTGTCTTCAGGTTACCCTGGACACTTTTGCATCCCATTGGGACTTTGGAATTTTCTTTGTAATGTATGTTTTGGTGTGTGTGTGTGTGTGTGACAGCTATTCACCTGGGTGCAGGTGGGCTGAGGCCAAAAAGGGCGTTAGCCTTGTGTGTGTGTGTGTGTGTGTGTGTGTGTGTGCAACAGCTATTTATTCACCTGGGTGCAGGTAGGCTGAAGCCGAAAAGGGCATCAGCCTTTTGTGTGTGTGTGTGTGCTCGTGCAACATAGCTGTTTATTCACCTGGGTGCAGGTGATCATTCGTGTTTTCTATTTTTTAATCATACGAGAAGACTGTAGTCAACTGTACAAATATTTCCTTATTAAATACTCACTATGTGCCAGGTGCTTATATGTTTATTTTGTTTATGTCTATTCTCTTTAGGTCAGATGTCATGCAATCCTTCCTTTGGTGGCATTGGAAAGGGGCATTTAATGAGGGAAGTAGATGCCTTGGATGGCCTGTGTTCTCGCATCTGTGACCAGTCTGGTGTACATTACAAAGTATTAAATCGGTGTAAGGGACCAGCTGTGTGGGGTCTCAGAGCTCAGATTGATAGGAAACTCTATAAACAGAACATGCAGGTAAGAATAGGGCATGAGGACAGGAAAGATTATAGTGATTGTTTAATTACCATGTTTCAACTGGTATTTTCTTTTGACAGAAAGAAATCTTGAGTACACCGCTGCTTACTGTTCAGGAGGGAGCTGTAGAAGATCTTATTCTTACAGAACCAGAGCCTGAACACACTGGGAAATGCCGTGTCAGTGGTGTTATTTTGGGTATGTATTGGTTATAGATGATATGTGATAACAGCATATCAAATTCCATGTGAGAAATTTATTTTAGAGCAAAGTATGGAGATATTTTGCTTATTCAAGGAAATTTTTGCATTTTCTCTTCCTGGATGAGGAAATCTATATAAATAAATACAATTTCTCTTTTTCATCTTGGCATTTATGATGCTCAGTCAAATTCTGGGCTCATCAATACCAAGTTCCATCTTAGTGTAGAACTTTATAATCTGCACATTTATGTCTCCCTCTCTCCCCATCTTTCTATTGTAATTTCTATCTTTTTCTGGTTCTGACCTTAAATTTTTTTTAATTTATATTTTAACACCTTATGTATATTTTTATGTAAAAGAGTTATATATTTAGTTTTTTTTATTAAAGTAAATCATGCATATATTTTTTAAAAAAATATTTAAAGAATCTGGGCATGGTGGCTTACGCCTGTAATCCTAGCACTTTGGGAGATCAAGGCAGGTGGATTGCTTGAGCCCAGGAGTTGGGGACCAGCCTTGGCAAGAGGTTGAAATCCCATGTCTACAAAAAAAAAAAAAACAAAAAACAAAAATTACCCAGCCGTGGTAGCAGGTGCCTATCGTCTCAGGTACTCAAGAAGCTGAAGTGGGAGGTCAAGACTTCAGTGAACTGAGATTATGCCACTGCACTCTAGCCTGGGCAACAGAGTGAGAACCTGTGTCAAAAATACATAAATAAATAAATGAAATTTAGAAGTTTATGTGGAAAAACAACCATGTCTTTCCCTGGAGACAGCCACTTCAACATTTTTTTCTTTTTTTCTTTTTTTTTTTTTTTTGAGGCGGAGTTTCGCTCTTGTTACCCAGGCTGGAGTGCAATGGCGTGATCTCGGCTCACGGCAACCTCCGCCTCCTGGGTTCAGGCAGTTCTCCTGCCTCAGCCTCCTGAGTAGCTGCGATTACAGGCACTCGCCACCATGCCCAGCTAATTTTTTGTATTTTTAGTAGAGACAGGGTTTCACCAGGTTGACCAGGATGGTCTCGATCTCTTGACCTCGTGATCCACCTGCCTCGGCCTCCCAAAGTGCTGGAATTACAGGCTTGAGCCACCGCGCCCAGCCTCTTTTTAAAGACAGAGTCTTGCTCTGTCTCCCAGGCTGGAGTACAGTGGCACGATCTTGGCTTACTGCAACCTCTACCTCCCGGGTTCAAGTGATTCTACTGCCTCAGCCTCCTGAGTAGCTAGGGCTACAGGTGCATGCCACCACACCAGGCTAATTTTTTGTATTTTTTTTTTTTTTTTTAGACGGAGTTTCGTTCTTGTTACCCAGGCTGGAGTGCAATGGTGCAATCTCGGCTCACCGCAACCTCCGCCTCCTGGGTTCAGGCAATTCTCCTGCCTCAGCCTCCTGAGTAGCGGGGATTACAGGCACGCGCCACCATGCCCAGCTAATTTTTTGTATTTTTAGTAGAGACGGTGTTTCACTATATTGGCCAGGCTGGTCTCGATATCCTGACCTTAATCTGCCCGCCTCAGCCTCCCAAAGTGCTGGGATTACAGGCATGAGCCACCATGCATGGCCCACTTTAACTTTTTTAGTTGTCACTTATTGTATATACTTCCAGATTTCTAAATAACAGGCTTATATTTTTACTTCCTAATTTATAGTTCTAGACATTATCTATTAATCGTTTTTGAGACAGAGTCTCAGTTGGCCAGGCTGGAATGCAGTGCACAATCTCGGCTCACTGCCACCTCCTCCCAGGTTCTAGTGATTCTCCTGTCTCAGCCTCTTGAGTAGCTGGGATGACAGACATCTGCCACCACACCCAGCTAATTGTGTCTTTAGCAGAGACAGTGTTTTACCATGTTGGTCAGGTTGGGCATGAACTCCTAACCTCAAGTGATCTACCTGCTTTAGCCTCCCAAAGTGCTGGGATTACAGGGGTCGGCCACTGCGTCTGGCCTATTTATTAACTTATTATTATGGTAATTTTCTTTTCTTTTCTTTTTTGAGACGGAGTTTCGCTGTTGTTACCCAGACTGCTGGAGTGCAATGGCACGATCTCGGCTCACCCCAACCTCCGCCTTCTGGGTTCAAGCAATTCTCCTGCCTCATCCTCCCAAGTAGCTGGGACTACAGGCACGCACCACCATGCCCAGCTAATTTTTGTATTTTTAGTAGAGACGGGGTTTCACCTTGTTGACCAGGATGGTCTTGATCTCTTGACCTCGTGATCCACCTGCCTCGGCCTCCCAAAGTGCTGGAATTATAGGCATGAGCTACTGTGCCCGGCGGTAATTTTCTTTAATATCCAACTTCCCTTTCCTCTCTTCCTTCTGTTATAATTATACCATAATTTTTGATTGATAGTATTTACATTATTAAGTATTGTGTACTGCATAGACGTGTGTTATATTTGTCCCTTTCATACATTTTGTTTTGCCTTGAGTTAATAATTATTTTGGCTAGGCACAGTGGCTCATGCCTATAATACCAGCACTTTGGGAGGCTGAGGCAGGCGGATCACAAGGTCAGGAGATTGAGACCATCCTGGCCAACATGGTGAAACCTCCTCTCTACTAAAAATACAGAAATTAGCTGGGTGTGGTGATATGCCTGTAGTCCCACCTACTTGGGAGGCTGAGACAGGGGAATCACTCCATGAGTTGGAGGTTGTAGTGAGCTGAGATTGTGCCACTGCATTCCAGCCTGGCGACAGAGCAAGAGTCTATCTCAAAAAAAAATAAAAATTACTTTGTCTCATTTATTTATTTTTTATATCACCCAGGCTGGAGTGCAGTGGTATGATCTTGACTCACTGCAACCTCCATCTTCCGGGTTTAAACAATTCTCCTGCCTCAGCCTCCCGAGTAGCTGGGATTACAGACACCTGCTACCATGCCCAGCTAATTTTTTTGTTTTTAGTGGAGACAGAGTCTCACCATGTTGGCCAGGCTGGACTCGAACTCCTGACCCCAAGTGATTTGCCTACCTCTGCCTCCCACAGTGCTGGGATTATAGGCGTGAGCCACCACACCCCACCTTCTCCAATTTTTTTGTGGTAAAATATATATACTACAAAATGTACCATTTTAACCATTTTTCAGTGTACATTTCAGTGCTATTAAGTATATTCAGTGTTGTGCACCCATACCACCATCTCCCAAACTTTTTCATCATCCAAAATTAAAATTCTGTACCCATTAAACACAAAGTCCCCATTACCTGAAGAATAACCCTCCATTTTACTGTAAGGTAGATCTATCTGGGGACAAAACCTCAATGTATAGATTTCAGCTGTTTCTTTCATTTTCTGGCCTAAGTTTAATTCCTATATTCCTCCTCAGTTCTTACTTTCAGTTCTCCAATTTCTGCAATTTCTGAGACTTTGCAGGGCAAATTAATTCACTCTCATTGATATCTTCTCTTCAGATAGCAATACTTAAGTTATAGTTATCTCCCCTCTGCTAGGTGAGTTTCCATTCTTCCAACCACTTTCTATCTTTCAAAAATATGTTGAAATTTCTTATCTTTTGACTAGTTCTTTTCTATTACTTGTCCTTTTGGTTTTATACTGTTTTTATTTCCTTATTTAATTTTCTTTGAGTTTTAGAAGGGAGAAGAAATGTGAGGTTGTATACCATATTTATCCTGAAGTCTAAATTTTTTCAATTAATTGAGACTAACTTTTTAGTGTTGATATGATTTTAGGTATATGTGAATTCATGATAACACATTGTATTCGCTCTCCTAGATTGCTTAGATTCTTGAAATTGATAACATATAGCCTTCTTACTCATTTAGAATTCTTAGTCTGGGATAGAGGAAATGAGAGATATTTCTCAGAGGTTACACATTTTCAGCTGTAAGTTGAATAAGTTCTAGCGATCTAATGTACAGTATAGTAACTGTAGTTAATAATATTGTACTACATACTTGAAACTTGTTAAGGGGGTAGATCTAAGTATTCTCACCACACACAACATGTAACTGTGAGGTGATGGTTATGTTAGTTTGAGTATGGGTTATCATCACAGAAGATATACTTGTATCAAAATAGCATGATGCTAACTTTAAGTATATTTAGTATTTTTTTTAATGTCTGTTATATGTCAATAATGCTTGAAAGAAACAAAAAAAATTAGAAAAGATTCTTAAGTTTCTTTTTTTTTTTTTTTTTTGAGACAGAGTTTTGCTCTTGTTACCCAGGCTGGAGTGCAATGGCACGATCTCGGCTCACCGCAACCTCCATCTCCTGGGTTCAAGCAATTCTCCTGCCTCAGCCTCCCAAGTAGCTGGGACTACAAGCGTGCACCACCAGGCCCAGCTAATTTTTGAATTTTTAGTAGAGACGAGGTTTCACCTTGTTGACCAGGATGGTCTCGATCTCTTGATCTCGTGATCCACTCACCTTGGCCTCCCAAAGTGCTGGGATTATAGGCGTAAGCCACCGCGACCGGCCTGATTCTCAAGTTTCTAAAGACTGATAGTTTTCCTGTAGTTCTAATGTAAAATAGTCACATTCTATTTCGATCCATGGTAACAATTTAAAAATGACTTCATTTTTTTTTTCTGTTATTTAGTGGATGGAAGCACAGTATATTCAGAGAGTGTGATTCTGACTACCGGGACATTTCTGAGAGGCATGATTGTAATTGGATTGGAGATGCATCCAGCAGGACGTTTAGGGGATCAGCCTTCTATAGGATTGGCTCAGACGCTGGAGAAGTTAGGGTTTGTGGTGGGAAGGTTGAAGACTGGGACTCCACCCCGAATTGCCAAAGATTCCATTAATTTCAGTATTCTAAACAAGCAGACGCCAGACAATCCATCCTTACCATTCAGCTTTATGAATGAGACAGTATGGATTAAGGTAAGATATGTTATGAAGACCTGGCTCACAGCTCATATTGGCTAGTCACAGCAGGAGGTACTGTAACTTTATTTTTTTGGCAGCCGTTCACTTTATAGGACTATTGCTTATAGTGCGAAGAAGTGTTCATTTTTTTCTTGTCCTTTTTTTTTTTTTAAATAGGATCTCACCTTGTCACCTAGGCTGGAGTGCAGTGGTGCAATTTTGGCTCACTGCAATCTCTGCCACCTGGGTTCAAGCAGTTCTCCCACTTCAGCCTCCCAAGTAGCAGGGATTACAGGCATCCGCTATTATGCCCAGCTAATTTTTGTATGTTTGTAGAGACCAGGTTTCACCATGTTGGCCAGGCTGGTTTTGAACTCCTGACTTCAGGTGATCTGCCCCATTTGGCTTCCCAAATTGCTAGTACTGGGATTATATAGACATAAGCCACTGCACCCAGCCTTTTTTTTTTTTTTTGAGACAGAGTTTCACTCTTGTTGCCCAGGCTGGAGTGCAAAGGCTCAATCTTGGCTCACTGTAACCTCTGCCTCCTGGGTTCAAGTGATTCTCCTGTGTCAACCTCCTGAATAGCTGGTTGCCTGCCACCACACTGGCTAATTTTTGTATTTTTAGTAGAGACAAGGTTTTACAGCCGGGCATGGTGGCTCACGCCTGTAACCCTAGCACTTTGGGAGGCCGAGGTGGGTGGATCACCTGAGGTCAGGAGTTCAAAACCAGCCTGGCCATCATGGTGAAACGCTATCTTTATTTAAAAAAAAAAAAAAAAAAAAAAGACGGGGTTTTGCCATGTTGGCCAGGCTAGTCTCAAACTCCTGATCTCATATTATCTGCCTGCTTCAGCCTCCCAAAGTGCTAGCATTACAGGTGTGAACCACCGCCCCCGGCAAATTGTAAATTTCATTACTTTTATAACTTTACATATTTTGTAAATTAAGCTTTTAGTTTTTAAAATGTATTCATTCACTATTATTTTTAATAGAGACAAGGTCTCCCCATATTGCACAGGCTGGCTCAAACTCCTGGGCTCAAGCCATTGCCTACCTCGGCCTCTCAAAGTGTTGGGATTACAGGCATGAGCCTCCACACCCAATCAAATTAAGCTTTTTTTTTTTTTTTTGAGATGGAAATTAACTCTAGTTACCCAGCTGTAGTGCAATGGCACGATCTTGGCTCACTGCAACCTCTGCCTCCTGTGTTCAAGCAATTCTCCTGCCTCAGCCTCCTGAGTAGCTGGGATTATAGGTGCCCACTGCTACGCCCTGCTAATATGTTTTTGTATTTTTAGTAGAGATGGGGTTTCACGATGTTGGTCAGGATAGTCTCAAACTGTTGACCTCAGGTGATCCACCTGCCTCGGCCTCCCAAAGTGCTAGTATTACAGGCATGAGCCGCTACGCCTGGCCAAAAAATTTTTTAACCACTAAAAAGAGGCCGGGTGCAGTGACTCATGCCTGTAATTCCAGCACTTGGGGAGGCTAAGGCAGGCAGATCGCTTGAGGTCAGGATCTCAAGACCAGCCAGGCCAATATGGTGAAACCCCACCTCTATTAAAAATACAAAAATTAGCCAGGCGTGGTGGCAAGCTCCTATATTCCCAGTTACTCAGGAAGCTGAGACAGGAGAATTGCTTGAACCTGGGATGGGGAGGTTGCAGTGAGCTGAGATCGTGCTACTGCACTCCAGCCTGAGCAACAGAGCGAGACTCTGTCTCAAAAATAAATAAATAAATAAAAACAACTGGTTAGATTTAGAGGTTTGCTTAAATTTAACTTCATCTTTTGAGATGTTTATTTTTGGCAAGAATACTTCATAAGTAATACTAGGCATTATGCACAAGTTTAGTGTCTGTTGAATTAAGTACGTATCATGTGGAATTTATACGGATAAGAAAGAAACTAGTACAGAAGCAAATCAGTATTGTATCTGTTTACTGTTTTTTAGCCAGAAGATCAGCTGCCATGTTACTTGACTCACACCAACCCTAGAGTGGATGAGATTGTTCTTAAGAACCTTCACCTTAATAGTCATGTTAAGGAAACAATAAGAGGACCCCGGTAAGGACAAAATATCAGTGCTCAATTACTTTAAGGAATAATGTCAATCCTCTTTTGTTCATTTCAAATTTGTTTCAATGTTCTATTCTAGATATTGTCCCTCCATTGAGTCAAAAGTTTTACGTTTTCCAAACCGTCAACATCAGGTTTGGTTGGAACCTGAAGGAATGGATTCTGACCTTATCTACCCACAGGGGTTATCTATGACACTACCAGCTGAGTTACAAGAGAAAATGATCACATGCATCAGAGGCTTGGAGAAAGCTAAAGTGATTCAGCCAGGTAAAGAGGATCACAGCTACCCTTCAGTGTAAACTCAGCATCGTTTTAATGGTCACTAAGGAGGCCTTAGCTACAGTCATTGTTGCTTAGAGTCTCAGAAGATGAAGCCCAACACCTGTACATTTTAAATACTCTGTTTTTAAAGGGCGTTTAAGGGTAATGTTTGCTTCTCTACCTTGAGCAAACCCAAGTCTGTGTTTACTTACTTAATGCCTTTATTCTTTGGTCAGGCTATGGTGTTCAGTATGATTACTTAGATCCCCGTCAGATCACTCCTTCTCTGGAGACTCATTTAGTTCAACGGCTCTTCTTTGCTGGACAGATCAATGGTACCACTGGTTATGAGGAAGCTGCAGCTCAAGTAAGAAGTTGTTAAGATATTACTGTAAACCAAAAGGGACTATTTAACTGGTATTTCTCCTTTTAATGTATATTCTGTTAACTATATAGATCTTAGATACAACTCATACTAATAGAAGACAATTTCTATTTTGAGGTATTTGGAGATGGCTTTTGTAGATAATAGGATTTTTTTCTTTTTTCTTTTTTTTAGACACAGTGTCACTCTGTCACCAGGCTAGAGTGTAGTGGTGTATCTTCTGAGTTCAAGTGATCTGCCTGCCTCAGCCTCCCAAGTAGCTGGGACTCCAGGCATGCGCCACCACACCCAGCTAGTTTTTGTATTTTTAGTGGAGATGGGGTTTCACTGTGTTGGCCAGGCTGGTCTCAAACTTCTGACCTCAGGTGATCTACCTGCTTTGACTTCCCAAAGTGCTGGGATTACAGGTGTGAACCACTGTGACTGGCCGATAATAGGATTATCAAAACACTTATGGCTTTATTACACTTTTCTGAGCTCCTGTGATATGGTATTTTGATTAGATTTATTGAATTGCTTCTAAAGTTTAAATTTTATTTTAATGTACTTTATTAGAAATTGTTATTATTTCTTGTAAGTCAGAAATTATTTTATTTTTTATTGTTTATTTCTTTTGAGACAGGATTTCCTTCTTGTTGCTCCAGCTGGAGTGTAATGGCATGATCTAGGCTCACCGAAACCTTCACCTCCTGGGTTCAAGCAATTCTCCTGCTTCAACCTTCCCGAGTAGCTGGGATTACAGGCATGTGCCACCATGCCCAGCTTATTTTGCATTTTTAGTAGAGATGACGTTTCTCCATGTTGGTCAGGCTGGTCTCGAACTGCTGACCTCAGTGATTCACCCTCCTTGGCCTCCCAAAGTGCGGGAATTATAGGTGCTCAGCCTATTTTATTTTTATTTGTAAGGGGGAAAAGACTAGATAATTTTCACAGGTGGGTTTTTAAAAAGGATTAACTGGCCAGGCATGGTGGCTCACACCTGTAATCCCCGCACTCTGGGAGACTGAGGAGAGAGGATTGCTTGAGCCAGGAGTTCGACACCAACCTGAGCAATGTAGTAAGACCCCATTTCTACAATGATGAAAAAAAGTAAAAATTAGCCGGGTGTGGTGGTATGTGCCTATAGTTCCAGCTACTTGGGAGAATGAATTGGGAGGACTGCTTAAACTCAGGAAGCCAAGGCTGCAGTGAGCCAGGATTATGCCACTGCACTCCAGCTTTGGTGACAGAGGAAGAACCTGTCACCAGAGGAAGAAAAAAAAAAAAAGATTAGTCTCCCAGAAGATTAGATAGGTATCTCTGAAAACAATGAATCATAGCCTGCTAAAGTGATATATTACCCATATTCTATTTCTGAATATGAATCACATTATCTACCTCTATTATATCCCTTAGATACAATACTTGCTTTCTTCTTGTGCCATGCCATTGTTTCTAGGTAGTGTTCTGAATAGGATAGTCCTTTGTTTAGTTCATAATGGCCTTTTAAACATTTCAGTGCTCTTGTAGGGTGTGATAGCTGGAATCAACGCCAGTCTTCGGGTCAATCGCAAGCCTCCCTTTGTGGTTAGCCGAACAGAAGGTTATATAGGAGTCTTGATTGATGACCTCACCACTCTGGGCACCAGTGAACCATACCGCATGTTTACCAGCCGAGTAGAGTTCCGTTTGTCACTGCGCCCCGATAATGCTGACAGCCGTCTCACACTGCGAGGTATCTCTTCCCTGAGTCCTGCAATCCAGCCAGTCATGGTGGCTCACACCAATAATCTGAGCACTTTGGGAGACCAAGGCAAGAGGATCACTTGAGGCCAGGAGTTCAAGACCAGCCAGGACAGCATAGTGAGACCCTGTCTGTACAAAAACATTTGTTTTAAAAACCACACTTCTCATTATATTCTCTTTTTCCCTTCCCTAGGATATAAAGAAGCTGGCTGTGTGTCCCAACAGCGATATGAAAGAGCTTGTTGGATGAAGTCTTCTTTAGAAGAAGGCATTTCTGTGTTGAAATCTATTGAGTTTTCAAGCTCTAAGTGGAAAAACTTAATCCCAGAGGCTTCTATAAGTACTAGTAGAAGTCTGCCTGTCAGGTATACATTTTTAATACAGGCCTTTCTCACCTTTTATAGAAAAATAAGATAATTTCAGAAACATTACCTATATATATGTTCCTACCCACATTTTAAATGAATGTAGCTTGTTTTTAGCTTCTTTTCAAAATCCTTTAGCTGTTTTCTCAGTATTAAAAAATACAGCTGGGCATGTGGCTCACACCTCTGATCCCAGCACTTTGGGAGGCCAAGGCAGGTGGATCACTTGAGGTCAGGAATTTGAGACCAGCCTGGCTAACATGGCAAAAGCCCGTCTCTACTAAAAATACAAAAATTAACCAGGCTTTGGACATTCAGATTCTTGATGTGGCAGTAAGAAAAGGGGGAAAAGAAATTAGCCAGGCATGGTGGTACATGCCTGTAATCCCAGCTACTCAGGAGGCTGAGTCAGGAGAATCACTGGAACTTGGGGCAGAAGCTGCAATGAGCTTAGATTTCGCTACTGCACTCCAGCCTGGGCGACAAAATAAGATCCGGTCTCAAAAAAAATTATATATATGTATATATTTGGGAGGCTAAGGCGGTCAGATCACTAGAGGTCAGGAGTTCGAGACCCGCCTGGCCAATGTGTCGTAACCTTATCTCTTCTAAAAATACAAAAATTAGCTTGGCGTGGTAGCACGCACCCGTAATCCCAGCTACTTGGGAGGCTGAGGCAGGAGAATCACTTGAACCTGGGAGGCAGAGGTTGCGGTGAGCCAAGATTGCTCTATTGCACTCCAGCCTGGATGACAGAGTACAACTCTGTCTCAATGAAAATAAAATATTACATATATATATATACACATACATACACACACGTACACACACACACACACACACATATATATATGAGATTCGAAGTTATTTTTATTTTTTATATGGTTTTTCTGTGGCTCCCATTGAGTTCTTTTGGCTTTCATAAGATTTAGAAGGCTCAAACCAAGAAAAATAGTTATCTGCTTTCTTTTCTAGGCTTGGAACAGTGTGGAATAATGTTATCTTGTCCATGAGCTATAACAAGGAAACTCCTTTGATAAACAAAGCAGAGTGTTATAAATTCTTTGGACTTACATGAAGAATCCTTTGCTACATTTTAGGGTTTTTTGTCCTTTTTTGTCCATCGTTCTAGTTATATGGCATCTGAGTCTAAAAGACATTAATATAGAGCATTTTTGCGCGAGAGATATGTTCCTAAGGATCTTACATAATTCGAAATCTATATATTTTACCCTTGATTTTTCCTATTTGAAAAACTTTAATTAGAATGAGAGAAGATCCCCAGAATGCATAAATCTGCAATAGTTGTAGCTTAGAGGTACATTATGCACATTATGGTAGCATTGATCATGAAGCTGTGTCTCCAGTATATTTTCCTCCTTTTCCTTATGATTTTTTCTTGCGGGGGTGGGGGACTTAAAGATATAACCATTTTAATTCTGTTCTTCATTATCTCTAATCTTTCCAAGTGTTCCTTCCTTAATTGCAGTCTGGCATAGGTCCTTGTTTGGATTTCACTTCATCAAAGTGTTTTATCTTTTTTAACTTCTGTTCCTGAGTTTTCAGGGTTTTTTTTTTTTTGAAGTGGGGTCTCACTCTGTCACCCAGACTGGAGTGCAGTGACACAATCTCAGCTCACTGCAACCTCTGCCTCCCAGGTTGATGTGATTCTCCTGCCTCAGCCTCCCAAGAAGCTGGGATTACAGGCATGCGCCCAGCTAATTTTGTATTTTTGGTAGAGACAGGGTTTCTCCATGTTGGTCAGCCTGGTCTTGAACTCCTGACCTCAGATGATCTACCTGCCTCGGCCTCCCAAAGTGCTGGCATGAGTACAGGTGTGAGCCACCAAACCTGGGCAATTTTTGTATTTTTAGTAGAGATGGGTTTCACCATGTTGGCCAGGCTGGTCTCGAACTCTGACCTAAAGTGATCCACCCACCTGGACCTCCCAAAGTGCTGGGATTACAGGCATGAGCCACTGTGCCTGGCCCAAGCTTTTATTTTCATAAGCGTTTCCCAAAGCACTTAGCACCACTGTTATAGTATATGAAACAATTTTTTTTTTTGAGACAGAGTCTCGCTCTGTCACCTAGGCTGGAGCACAGTGACGCGATCTTGGCTCAGTGCAACTTCTGCCTCCTGGGTTCAAGTGATTCTTCTGCCTCCGCCTCCCTAGTAGCTGGGACTACAGGCTCCTGCCACCATGCCCAGCTAATTGAAACAGATTTTTAATAACAGTAACAGCAGGTTTTGAAGAATTTGCATATTTGTTATCCAGATCAGGGGATTTCATTCATAGAAATGACAGCCTCATTTACAAATAAAGATGATGGATATCTTTGTCCATTCAGACTGCTATAACAAAACACCTTAGACTGGATACTTTATAAACAACAGTAATTTATTGCTAACAGTTTTGGAGGCTGTGAAGTCCAAGATCAGGGCACCAACAGATTAGGTATCTGGTGAGAACTTGCTTTTTACTTCCAAGATGGAGCCTTTTTGCTGTGCTCTCACATAGCAAAAGGGCAAAAAGCTCTCCAACCCTCTTTTATAGGGGTACTAATCCCACTTATGAGTGCCAGAACCCTCATGACCTAATCACCTCCAATGAAGGGGCCACCTCTAAATACTATCATATTGAGTATTAGATTCCAACATATGAATTTAACCATGGGGACACCACCAACACTCAGACTATAGCAGTGGATATATTTGTTTACCAGCTAAGTGGCATCAGGAAATTGTTGTAGTGAAGCGGTTTATAATTGACTCATTTCTCCAGCTGTTTATTGATTTAAATTTAGGAGGGTTCACATTATTTCAAAAGTTGGACAAAGAATTTATAACACAGGCTAGGCATAGTGCCTCATACCTGTAATCCTAGCCTTTTAGGAGGCTGAGGTGGGCAGATTACTTGAGGCCAGAAGTCAAGACCAGCTTGGCCAACATGGCAAAACCCTGTTTCTACTAAAAATACAAAAATTAGCCAAGTGTGATGGAGCACACCTGTAATCTCAGCTACTCAGGAGGCTGAGGTAGGAGAATCGCTTAAACCTGGAAGACAGAAGTTGCAGTGAGCTAAAATCACACCACTGCACTCCAGCCTGGGTGACACAGCGAGACTCTGTTTCAAAAAAAAAGAATTTATAACACTATGCTTTCTTTTATAACAGATATTATACTAATTCATATAATAGGAACTTGCACTGAATATAACTAATATGTATTGAGGAATACTGAGAATGTGGAAAGTGATCATTTTCGACAGTCTCAGATGCTAACTGATGAATAAAAAGATGAACAAAGAAAACAGTTGTGTTTTTACCATACTAATCCCATGTTTGTTTAGATGGATTTTTTAAAAAGGTAATTTGGCCAGATTTCTTTTTAATTCAGGCATATTTCCCTTCAGGAAGAATCAGTCTACATATTTGATTTGAGAATATTTGCAGTCTACCACTTAGCCTTTCTTTTTTTTGAGATGGAGTCTCGCTTTGTCGCCCAGGCTGGAGTGCAGTGGCATGATCTCAGCTCACTGCAACCTCCGCCTGCTAGGTTTAGCGATTCTCCTGCCTCAGCCTTCCTCAGCTGGAACTATAGGCGCATGCCACCATGCCTGGTTAAATTTTTGTATTTTCAGTGGAGGCAGGGTTTCACCATACTGGCCAGGCTAATCCCAAACTTCTGACATCGTGATCTGCCCGCCTCAGCCTCCCAAAGTGCTGCCGGGCCCCCACCACTTAGCCTTTCTTAATGAACTCACTTGATCAATGCCCAGACATATAAAGCTAAAAAGATTTTACAATTTGGTTATAATACAGTTGCTGTATACAGGCCAGACCAACCAGTTAAACTTGACTCTGAACATGCATTTAACAGAAGAGATACAAAAATGCATGCCCATGTGCACCTGTGCATAACACATATACACATATTTCCTGTCAGGATTACAGGGAAATGTGTTAATGTGTTAGGTAGCTGGGAAATTCCCTCCTGGCTTTGTTGAAGTATGCTAATTTACCCATTCTTTGCCAGAGCTCTGTACTCTGAGGCTTAGGCTTGATTCAAAGCAGATCTTGAAGTCTGGAGTTGAAAATAGCTTAAAGCCTTGTAAACAAATTGTTTTAAAACTATCTCAAATTCTGGGGCTCAAGGGATCTTCCTATCTCCACCTTCCAACATGCTGGGATTACAGACATAATCCCCCCAAAAAAGAAGAACATAATTACCAGTTTAACTATTTGTAAGTTTAATTATATTCATATGGTTGTAAAATAGGTCTCCAGGACTTTTTTATCTTGTAAAACTGAAACATTATACCCATTAAACAATAACTCCCCCTTTCTCTCCTTCCCCCAGCCCCTGGCAACCTCATTTACTCTGTTCTTGTGGATTTGACTACTTTAGATAACTCAGAAGTAGAATCATATAGTATGTCTTTTTGTGACTGGCTTATTTCACTTAACATAATGTCCTCAAGGTGGGGCATGGTGGCTCACGCCTGGAATCCTAGCACTTTGGGAAGCTAAGGTAGGAGGATCCCTTGAGCCCAGGAGTTTGAGACAAGGTTGGGCAACATAGTGGGCCACTACCGCTACAGAAAAATCCAAAAATTAGCTGGCATGATGGTTCACACATGTTTTTCCAGCTATTTGAGAGGCTGAGATGGGAGGATCCCTTGAGCCCAGGAGGTTGAGGCTACAATGAGCTGTGTTTGTGCCACTGTCCTCCAGCTGGGTTGACAGAGTAAGACCCATTCTCAATAATCACAATAATAATAAATGTCCTCAAGTTTCATATGCCTTGTAACAAGAAACAGGATTTCCTTCCTTTTTAAGGTTGAATTTTGTATGCATATACCACGCTGAGTTTATCCATTCATCTGCTGATGGACACTTGAGTTGCTTTCACCTTATTGTAAATGTAAATATTAATGTACATGTTAGTGCAGCTGTGATCATGAGTATACAAAGATATCTTTAAGACCCTGCTTTCAATTTTTTTTGAGACGGTCTCACTCTGTCATTCAGGTTGGAGTGCCCCATCTCTGCTTACTGCAGCCTTCACCCCTAGCTTCAAATGATTCTTATGCCTTAGCCTCCCAAGTAGCTGGGATTACAGATGCCTGCCACCACGCTTGGCTAATTTTTGTATTTTCAGTAAAGACAGCGTTTTGCTATGTTGGCTAGACTGGTCTCAAACTCCTGACCACCTACCTCGGCCTCCCAAAGTGCTGGGATTACAGGCATAACCCACCACACCTGGCCCCTGCTTTCTTTTGTGTGGGGGGTGGGGTTTGTTTTGTTTTGTTTTGTTTTGAGACAGAGTTTGGCTCTTGTTGCCCAGGCTGGAGTGCAATGGTGCAATCTTGGCTTATTGAAACCACTGCCTCCCAAGTTCAAGCAATTTTTCTGCCTCAGCCTCCCAGGTAGCTGGGATTACAGGTGCCTTCCACCATGCCCAGCTAATTTTGTATTTTTAGTGGAGATGGGGTTTTTCCATCTTGATCAGCCTGGTCTGGAATTCCCAATCTCAGATGACCTCCTGACTCGGCCTCCCAAAGTGCTGAGATTACAGGTATTAGCCACCCACTGCCCCCAGCTGGCCCCTGCTTTCAATTTTTTGACTGTATACCCAGAAGTGGAATTGCAACATTTATGTAGTTGTAGTTCTTGGTGGAGTTTTTTTTTTTTTAAGAGACAGGGCCTTGCTATGTTGCCTAGGCTGGAGTGCAGTAGCTTTTCACAAGCAGGTATCCCACTATTGATCGGCACAGGAGTTTGGCTGACCTGGGCTTGTTTATTCCTGCTTAGGCAACCTGGTAGTCCACCGCTCCTGGGAGGTCACCATATTGATGCTGAATTCAGTGTGGACTCCCAATGGTTATAGTGCACTACAGCCCAGAACTCCTAGGCTCAAGCAGTCCTCTCACCTCAGCCTCCCAAGTAGCTGGGACTATAGGCTCATGCGACCCTCTCTGGCAGTAGTTTTAGTTTTAATTTATTGAGGAACTGTTTTCCATCTTGATTGCATCATTTTACAATCCCTTCAATGGTTCACAAGATTTCCCATTTCTCCACATACTCACCAACAGTTGTCATCTTCTGTTTTTTGATAGTAGCCATCCTAATGGGTATGAGGTGATAAGCTCATTGTGGTTTTGATTTTATTTCTCTGATGATTAGTGGATGCTGATCACCTTTTCATGTGCTAGTTAGCTATTTTTATATCATTGGAGAAATATCTATTCATCCTCTGTCATTTTTTTAATCAGTTGTGTTTTTGTTTTTTTTTCTTATAGAGACAGGGTCTCACTCTGTCACTGAGGGTGGAGTTGCTGTGGCACAATCATAGCTTACTGCAGCCTTGAGCTCCTGGACTCAGGTGATCCTCCCACCTCAGCCTCCCAAGTAGCTAGGTCCACAGGTGTGCACCACCCTATCCAGCTAGATTTTTATTTCTTATAAATACAGGATCTTGCTGTGTTGCCAAGGTTGGCCTTGAACTCATGGTCTCGAACTCGTGGTCTCAATTAACCCTCCTACCTCAGCCTCCCAAAGCACTAGGATTACAGATGTAGTCACCATGCCTTGCGAGATTTTTTTATTATTGAATTGTAGCTCTTTATATATTCTGTATATTAACCCCATTTCAGATATATGATATGCAAATATTTTCTGCCATTCTGTGGATTGTGTTTCCACTCTTTTGTTTGTGTCCTTTGATGTACATTTTTTAAAAATTTGAGGCCAGGCGTGGTGTCTCACACTTGTAGTCCCAGCACATTGGGAGGCCGAGGCGGGTGGGGTGAGGAGTTCACAATCAGCCTGACCAACATGGGGAAACCCAATCTTTAAGAAAAAAAAAAATAGGATATAGGCCAGGCACAATTGTACCTGTAATTCCAGCACTTTGGGAGGCTGAGGCAAGCAGATCACCTGACGTCAGGAGTTCAAGACCAGCCTGGCCAACGTGGCAAAACCCCATCTCTACTAAAAATACAAAAAAAATTAGCTGCACATGGTGCCACATGCCTGTAGTCCCAGCTACTGGGGAGATTGAGGCACAAGAATCACTTGAACTCAGGAGATGGAGGTTGCAGCGAACAGAGATTATGCCACTGCACTGCAGCCTGGGTGACAGAGCAAGACTCCATCTCAAAAAAAAAAAAAATGCTTTGGACTTTATATTGAAAAATTAAAAAAACAAAAGAAACTAAATTGATGTAGTTCCATTTGTCTACTTTTGCTTTTGTTCCTTGTGCTTTTGGTGTCAGCCAAGAAATCACTGGCAAAACCAATGTCATGAAGCTTTTCCTGTATGTTTTCTTCTAGGAGTTTTATAACTCAGGGCCTTTCCTTAGGTCTTTAATCCATATCATGTTGATTTTTGTATATGACATAAGGTAAGGATCCAATATCCTTCTTTTGCTATTTGGATATCCAGCTTTCTCAACATTATTTGTTGAAGTGACTGTTCTTTTCGCATTCAGTGGTTTGGGTATGCTTGTCAGAATAATTTGATTATATAGTGAGGGTTTATTTCTGGATTTTCTATTCCATTGGTCTGTAAATCTGTCTTTATGCCAGTACCATGCTGTTTTGATTACTGTAGTTTGTATTATGCTTGAAATCAGGAAACGTAAGGCCTCTAACCGTGTTCTTTTTTCAAAATTGTTTTGACTATTTGGTGTCTCTTGTGATTACATATGAATTTTAGGATGAAATTTTCTATTTCTGCAAAAAAAAATGGCAAAAACCTTTTAAATGAATTACAACAACAAAAAAAGGCATATGTAAATGAAGGAAGTAATAATTAATAGCAACAAGTGATCTAGCTAGGTCCATTTTAGGAGAAGGTCTGGGTCAATCTGGGGGTGGGAGGTTTGTGAAATCAAGAGGGGAGACCTCAGATTGGTATAAAAGGGATTAAACTGGTCATAGGAGCATCAGCACTTATGAAGACTAAACATAGCTAACGTTTTGCTCATTAGTTTGATTTCAACAAATGCTAATGAATTAAGTTATTGGAAATCTCACTTGATCTATGTGAGATAATACTTAGTCATGTTTCTTTTTTGGCCTAGGTAAGTTGCCTGGGAATTTTAGTAATTGTCCCCACTATCTGCATACATTGGTCTCCTTTCCCAAGGAGAGGTAAGGCACTAGCTCTGGAGGCTTTAGCCCATCCAGAGTGGGTAGTAGAAGTAGAACCCAGAAGTGACTATCAAAAATTTCCATGTGGCAAAAATTGACATGGAGATTATACCAAATTAGGAAAAAAAAAATCAGACCGAATATTTATGAACCAGCCAGGCACAGTAGCTCACTCATACAATCCTAGCACTTTGGGAGGATGAGGTAGGTAGATCACCTGGGCAACATGACAAACCCTGTCTCTATTTAAAAAAAAAAGAAGAAAAATACTTATGAACCCCAGTATCATTTTTATCAGTTTGTTTTGCAGAGACTTAAAGCATGCTCATAATGTCCTCTTGTTCTTCCTTAGGGAATTCTGTAGAAGAAAGCAGGAGATCACTGTCATGATTCCCAGCATGCAAAAGGATGACTAATTCACAGGACTGTAGGACTTAACATGGCTTAGATGTAAAGTACTTTCCAATGCTTAGGGAATTCAGTGAAGCCCTTGTTATGAGATGATATTCTATATGAAAGGAAAGACAAATGGATTACAGCCATGCCACCCTTACCAGCAATTCTCCTGATAAGGAGTTGTGGACAGTCAAATAATATGTCTTATTGAGGTCCTACTGTTTAGCAGATGCTGCTGCATTTGCCCACCATACTTAGAGAGAATCTTTTGATATTTATTCTGAGATTTGATATTATTTCAAAGAATCTTGTTCTTGATCTGCCTTATATGACATGGATCCTTATGTTAATAAAACTTTTGTATATTTGCAGAGCTCTCGATGTTCTGAAGTATGAGGAAGTTGACGTGGATTCATTAGCCAAGGCTGTTCCAGAGCCCTTGAAGAAGTATACTAAATGTAGAGAGCTAGCTGAAAGACTGAAAATAGAAGGTAGAAATAATTTTTGACTTAACATGCCTTTATAATGTGTGCAAATTATGAATAGACAACAGATCCATTATTACTGTTGGACCAGCATAGTGTTAGCTTCTGTGCTCTTCAAAAGCGTAGTCCTCAGCTAACAGTGTTGCAATACCTGTACACTTGTTAGAAATACAGAATCTTGGGCCAGGCAGGGTGGCTCACGAGCCTGTAATCCCAGCACTTTGGGAGGCCGAGGCAGGTGTATCATGAGGTCAGGAGTTCAAGACCAGCCTGGTCAAGATGGTGAAACCCCTTCTGTACTAAAAATACAAAAATTAGCCGGGCAAGGTGACAGGAGCCTGAATCCCAACTACTCAGGAGGCTGAGGCAGGAGAATTGCTTGAACCCCAGAGGCGGAGGTTGCAGTGAGCTGAGATCATGTCACTGCACAAAATACATATATACATATGTATTGTGTGTGTGTGTGTGTGTGTATGTATATGTGTATGTGTATGACAGAGTTTCACTCTTGTTGCCCAAGCTGGAATGCAGTGGTGCAATCTTGGCTCACTGTAACCCACACCTCCCAGGTTCAAGCAATTCTCCTGCCTCAGCCTCCCAACTAACTGGGATTACAGGCGCCCACCACCACACCCAGGAAATTTTTGTATTTTTAGTATAGACATGTACTAAAAATTTCATCATGTTGGCCAGACTGCTCTCAAACTCCTGACCTCACCTCACCTCAGGTGATGCACCCACCTCGGTCTTCCAAAGTGCTGGGATTATAGGTGTGAGCCACTGTACCCGAGTACCTGAGATTACAGGTGTGTGCTACCATGCCCAGCTAATTTTTTTGTACTTTTAGAAGAAATGGGGTTTCACCACATTGGCCAGGCTGGTCTTGAACTTCTGACCTCAAGTGATCCACCCACCTTAGCCTCCCAAAGTGCTGGGATTACAGGCGTAATCCACCATGCCCAGCATATATATATATATATATATATATTGACCCTGAACTTTGTTTTTTACTCTCCCCACCTAATATTCTAATAATGAGAAACATAATACTATCTTTGGCTTTGACAGTATACTGAAGTACTCTACCTTTGACAAATACTTTTTATCAAATATTCTTGGTCACTTTATAGACCACCAAAGCTGCAGGTTTGTTTGATAGTTGCTCTGCATTTTTTAAGTTTTTCATAATGAAAACTTTTATTGTGAAAATACTGAAGCTGGGCATGGAGTCTCACCCCTTTAATCCCAGCCCTTTGGGAGGCTGAGGCGGGTGGATCACCTGAGGTCAGGAGTTCAAGACTAACCTGGCCACCATGGTGAAAACCCATCTCTACTAAAAATACAAAAAAATTAGCTGAGTGTGGTGGCAGGCACCTGTAATTCCAGCTACTTGGGAGGCTGAGACAGGAGAATTGCTTGAACCCGGGAGGCGGAGGTTGCAGTGAGCGGAGATTGTGCCACAGTTACTCCAGCCTGAGTGACAAGAGTGAGACTCCATCTCAAAACAAAAAGAAAAAATACTGAGAATAATATTGGCTTCTGCATTTTGATAGAAGGTGTTTTTTTCGTGGGTAGAAAATGATGCAGTGAAAATGGCTGGGAACAGGATAACATGGTGAGAAGGGAAGAAAAAGTTGGATGATGATGTGCTGTTCAAACAGGAAAAGACTGCTCTTTGGGGACCAGCCAGAATGGTGATCATGCTGCATTCCTTTTAGCAGTGGCATTTTTTTTTTTTTCTTGAGATGGAGTCTCACTTTGTTGCCTCGGCTGGAGTGCAGTGGTGCCATCTCAGCTCACTGCAACCTCCACCTCCCAGGTTCAAGTGATTCTCCTGCTTCACCTTCCTGAATAGCTGGGAGTACAGGCATGCTAATTTCTTTATTTTTAGTAGAGACAGGATTTCACCATGTTGGCCAGGATGGTCTCGCACTCCCGAGCTCAGGTGATCCACCCGCTTTGGCCTCCCAAAGTGCTGGGATTACAGGCGTGAGCCACTGCACCTGGCTTTTCTTTTTTCTTTTTTTTTTTGAGACAGAGTCTTACTCTATTGCCCTGTTTCCCAGGCTGGAGTAGAGTGGTACAGTCTCCACTTAGTGCAACCACCACCTGCTGGGTTCAAGCAGTTCTTCTGCCTCAGCCTCCCGAATGTCTAGGACTACAGGTGCTCACCACCATGGCTAATTTTTGTGTGTTTGTTTTTTTTTTGAGACAGAGTTTCACTGTTGTTACCCAGGCTGGAGTGTGCAATGGCGCGATCTTGGCTCACTGCAACCTCCGCCTTCTGGGTTCAAGCAATTCTCCTGCCTCAGCCTCCCGAGTAGCTGGGACTACAGGTTCACACCACCATGCCCAGCTAATTTTTGTATTTTTAGTAGAGACAGCGTTTCACCATGTTGACCAGGATGGTCTTGATCTCTTGACCTCGTGATCCACCCACCTCGGCCTCCCAAAGTGCTGGGATTATAGGCGCGAGCCACCGCACCCGGCCTAATTTTTGTGTTTTTTAAGTAGAGATGGTGTTTCACCATGTTGGCCAGGCTGGTCTCAAACACCCGACCTCAGATGATCCGCCCGCCTTGGCCTCATAAAGTTGTGAGCCACTGTACCCAGCCAGCATTTTCTTTTAGTTCCACAAAGGTCTATCACCTTGCTATGCTTTGGCTGTGTGTGTAGGATGACCCAAATGCTGCCTACCATTCCACCACACACATTTACAAAAGTCTGGCAACAAAAGGAAACTCATCAGAAACTCTCGACTTTTTCTTCCAAATGATTAAACAGTAGTAATATATTAAGGTAGAAGAAGCACTGTTGACCTGTTATTTTGCCATCACAATTTCTCTATTGAGTAAAAATTATTTTATTAAATACTTAGGGCTGTTAGATCTGGGGAAGAGTGATTATATATTTTAAACTTGGTTTGCAGTTTTATTTGTTTAAGTAAATCATCAGGTTTTGATTAGGATAATCCAGAAAAATTATCATTAACTTGTTTATAGGAAGTCCTGACTTCAACCATGGAATAGCTTTAAAGACTTGAGCATATAAGGCCTGGCGTTGTAGCTCACGCCTATCATCCAAGCACTTTGGAGGCCAAGGCAGGCGGATAACCTGAGGTCGGGAGTTCAAGACCAGCCTGACCAACATGGTGAAACCCTGTCTTAAAAAAAAAAAAAGACTTGGGCATATATAAAGACCCTAATAACTATCCACAGCTTAAAAATATATATATACTGGGCCAGGTGTGGTGGCTCATGCCTGTAATCCCAGCACTTTGAGAGGCCAAGGCAGGTGAATTAAGAGGTCAGAAGATTGAGACCAGCCTGGCCAACACGGTGAAATTCTGTCTCTACTAAAAATACAAAAATAATTAACCAGGTATGGTGTCACACGCCTATAATCCCAGCTACTCAGGAGACTGAGGCAGGAGAATTGCTTGAGGCTGAGGCAGGAAAATTGCTTGAACCTGGGAGGCGGGGGTTACAGTGAGCAGAGATCGTGCCACTGCACTCTAGTGTGGGTGACAGAGTGAGACTCCCATCTCAAAACAACAGCAACAACAACTAGATTGAAATATAACACATATCAGTGGTTTTCAAGTTGCTACCTGGATTCCTTCACTAGATAACACATATCTTGAGGGCATAAATCAGTGTCAGATTCTTCTTTGTACTATCTTTCTTGTTTTGTTATATATGAATATATATAACATTATACCCTTATATACCTTTAGCTTATGCATTACCTCATATATTCCATGATGCCCTGAAGTCAGTTCATGAATCATAACATATTACAATTTGCTGTACTAATTTGTTATATTACAATATTATGTGAGCTCTTTACATGCATTATTTCATTTGATACTTAGAACTGCCCTGTGAAGGACAGATATTAGCATTGTTGTCCTAATTTTACAGATAAGTGGTAATTGCCCAAGATCACATGGTGAGTGGCAGAGCTGGGATTGGAACCTAACTTGTCTGATTGTAAAATCTGTGTACTTCACAACTATTCTTTGTTGCTGTAAAGACCCTCAGAAGTCATCTGGGCTAGCTCTTGCAATTTCTAGAAAAAGAAACTAAGTCCCAAAATGATGATCATGTGCTCATAGTCAAAGTGTAATTCATTGTTGGAGTCAGACACGGAGATGAGATTTTCTGGCTGCCAGTCAAGTGATGGAAGAAGGTGATACCAAATCCTCAGAGGACTCCCTTTCTTGAATAAGACAGAATGAGCACCTCAGTTTAGGTTTTAAAACAGGTTTTTAATTTCATTTTCTAAGAACAGAATGCTTTAATTACAAAATAATTGCTGAATTACCTTCCTAACTTCACTTTTGAATAATCCCTTAACCAAATTATTTAAATTATGTATTGTCAAGTAAGCCTTCACTTCCCTTCCCTTCCCTTTCCCTTCCCCTTCTTTTCCCTTCCCCTCCCCTCCACTTCCCTCCCCTTCCCCTCCCCCTCTTCCCCTTCCCTTCCCCCTCTCCTCCCCTCTCTTTCCTTTCCCTTCCCTCAAAAAGAAAAAAAATAAGTTTTACTTTTAAAAATTATTGCTCTATATGGCGATACTTCAAAAAACCATTTTCTTTTTTTTTTTTTTGGGGGGGGCGGGGAGGAAGGCAGGAAGGGAGAGAAGAAGGACGGTAGGGAGGAAGGAAGGGATGAAGGAAGGAAGGAAGGGAGGAAGCGGGGAGGGAGGGAGGGAGGGAAGGGAAGGAAGGGAATCAAGCAATGAGAGAGACATTGCCGACCTGGATCTAGAGGTTTACAAGTTGATTTCTTTTTTTTGAGAGAAAGAAAGAAAAAAAAAATAAGTAAAGGAGAGGAAGAAAGAGGAAAAGAAAGAGGGAGAGTAAATGGAAATATTGCTTTATTTTGAAAAAAATTGGGTATTAATAATGACCCATCAATGTTTCATTTAAACTTATGGGTAGGTGTGGTGTGGTATTGACTAAAATGTATATTTTGTGTATTTGAAGTGGAGAGCTCTATAAATATTTATTAAGTTTACTTGTTCCGGATCTGAGTTTGAGTCCTTGATATTCTTATTAATTTTCTGTCTCATTGAATCTAAGTCTCGTATCTGGGTGTTAGGATCGTTAGCTCTTGTTGTTGCATTGATCCTTTTACCACTATATCTTTGTTGCTTTAAAATCTATTTTATCCGATACGAGAATTGCAACTCCTGCTTTTTGTTTATTTATTATTTATTTTTGCTCTCCATTTGGTTGGTAAATCTTTCTCCCTCCCTCTGTTTTGAGTCTTTGTGTATCCTTGCATGTGAAACAGGTCTGGATGTAACATGCCATTGGGTTTTGGCTGTGTCTTTTGATTAGGGGATTTAGTCAGTTTAAATTTAGGGTTACTGCCATTTGATGTTGACTGGCTGTTTTATCCATTCGTTGGTGTAAATTCTTTTTTATGTTGGTGCTCTTTACTTTTTGGTGTATTTTTAGAAAGGCTAATACTGGTTGTTTCTTTCTGTGTGTAATGCTTCTTTGCTTCTTTCAGAAGCTCTTGTAAAGCAGGCCTGGTGGTAATAAAATCTCTGAGTTCTTGCTTGTTCATAAAAGATTTTATTTTTCCTTCAGTTGTGAAGTTTAGTTTGGCTGGATATGAAATTCTGGGCTGAAGGTTCTGTTCTTTGAGGATGTTGAATATTGGCCCCCACTCTCTTCTGGCTTGTAGAGTTTCTGCTGAGAGATCTGCTGTAAGTCTGATAGGCTTGCCTTTGTGGGTAATCTGACCTTTCTCTCTGGCTGCCCTTAGTATTTTCTCCTTCGTTTCAACCCTGGTGAATCTAACGATTATGTGCCTTGGGGTTGCTCTTCTTGAGGAATATCTTTGTGGTGTTCTCTGTAATACCTGGGGTTGAATGTTGACCTGCTTTGCTAGTTTAGGAAAATTTTCCTGAATAATATCCTGAAGGGTGTTTTCCAGCTTGGATTCATTCTCTCCGTTGCATTCAGGTACACCTATCAAACATAAATTTGGTCTTTTCACATAGTCCCACATTTCTTGGAGACTTTGCTCATTCCTTTTTATCCTTTTTTCTCTAATCTTTTCTTCACATTTTATTTTATTAAGTTGGACTTTGACCTCTGATATCCCTTCTTCTGCTTGAACAATTCGAGTGTTTAAACCTGTGCATACTTCTCGGAGTTCCTGTATTGTATTCTTCAGTTCTATTAATTCACTCATACTCCTCTCTAAGTTGTCTATTCTCAATAGGATTTCATCAAACCTTTTTTCAAAGTTCCTAGTTTCTTTATGTTGGGCTACAACATGGTCTTTTAACTCACCGAAGTTTGTTATTATCCATTCCTTGAAGAGTGATTCTGTCATCAGGATGCGCTTGTTCTCCATCAAGCCTTGTTCCATTGTTGATGTGGAACTGTGATCATCTTTAGAGGGAGAGGCGTTCTGACTTTGAGTATTCTCAGCTTTTTTACGCTGGTTTCTTCCCATCATTGTTAATTTATCCTCCTGTCGTCTTTGAAATTACCAACTTTCAGATTAGGTCTCTTGAGTGGACGTCCAGGTTGTTAGTTCCCAGGGCCAGAGCAGCCGCGTTAAAACTGATGGTGCTTTTCTGCCCAGGATTCTCCTGTCTGGCTTCCTTCTTGTGTCTGTAGTAGGTGACTCTGCCTTCCCGGGGCTCCAAACCTCGGTCAGAAGGGGAGCTGGTCCCGTTTACTCTGCGCCGAGTGCTGCCGCGCCCAGGTGCCGTCACAGCCGCTGTGCGGGGCTCTGGTGTCCTGCTGGGGACCCGTGCAGGTCCTCCGAACCTGTTTGCTCTGAGAGCTGCCGCGCCCAGGTGCCAGCGGCTGCGCCAGCCACTAGAGTCGCGCTGGCCACCCGTGTGTTTCCTCCACTGGGGGATCTTCTGCTCCGTGAGCGACCAGAATTTGTCTGAAAGTGTGGCGTCCTCCAGTTCTCCGCACCTTCCCTGAGAGCTGCAATCCCAGGATGTTAGCGATCGGCCATCTTGGATCGTTCTCCAAAAAAGCATTTTCTTAGAGAAATAGATTATCTCGGCTGGGTGCAGTGGCTCACGCCTATAATTCCAGCACTTTGAGAGTCGGAGGTGGGCGGATCACGAGGTCAGGAGTTGTAGACCAGCCTGGCCAACACGGTAAAACCCCATCTCTACTAAAAATATAAAAATTAGCTGGGCGTGGTGGCGTGCATCTGTAATCTCAGCTACTTGGGAGGCGGAGACAGGAGAATTGCTTGAACCCGGGAGGTGGAGGTTGCAGTGAGCTGAGATCACACCACTGCACTCCAGGGCAACAGAGCAAGACTCTGTCTCAAAAAAAAAAAAAAAAAAAAGAGAGAGAGAGAGAAATAGCTTATCAGTAGGACATAAAATCCAAACTCACAGCTAATTGAAGAAAATGTTCCAACCAAGGTTTGCACTGACAGTGGAAGCAAATTCTTTTTTTTTTTTTTAAATGGAATCTCTCTCTGTCACCCAAGCTGGAGTGCAATGGTGCTATCTCAGCTCGCTGCCAGCTCCACCTCCTGGATTCAAGCAGGTTTCCTGTCTTAGCCTCCCCGGTAGCTGCGATTACAGGTATATACTGCCATACCTATCTAATTTTTTTATATTTTTAGTAGAGATGGGGTTTCACCGTGTTCCGCATGCTGGTCTCGAACTCCTGAGCTCAGGCAATACACCTGCCTCGGCCTCCCAAAGTGCTAGGATGACAGGCATGAGCCACCATGCCCAGCCGCAAATTATTTTTTCACTTTTAATTTTGCAGATATTTGAAAAGGACATACATTAAACTACTAGACAGTAGTTTAATTGTAGTTAATATGCAAGATACTCCATTTATCTTAGTTTCAGTTTCCTCCTATGTAAAGGGGAATACCTACCAACCCATCTCATGGTGTTGAAATGAGTATTGAATGAGATGATGTACACAAAAGGTTTTTGTAAATTGTAAGATGCTACACAAACGTAGGTTGTTAGTATAATATAATCTGGGTATTATAACATGATTCTGATTTTGTTCACCAGCCACTTATGAATCAGTATTGTTCCATCAGCTACAAGAAATAAAGGAAGTTCAGCGAGATGAAGCTCTCCAACTGCCAAAAGACCTAGATTATTTGACTGTCAGGGATGTGTCTTTGTCCCATGAAGTTAGAGAGAAACTACATTTTAGTCGTCCACAGACGGTAAGAAAATAGGCAGGGGAATAGGAACAAGATAAAGATCCGGTGCTTTCATTTTTTTTAAACCTGGGGTTACAATTGCCATATAACTAATGCTTTATTTAATAATAAGAAACTTCCAGCCTAGGCAACACAGCAAGACCCTATCTCTATAAAGATACAGAAATTAGCTGGGCATCATGGCATGCACCTGCAATGCCAGCTACTTGGGAGACTGAGGTGGAGGATCACCTGAGCTCAAGACACTGAGGCTACAGTGAGCCATGATTGTGCCACCGTACTCCAGCCTGGGCAACAGAGCGAGACTGTCTCAAAAAAAAAAATTTGACCTCAGATTTTTTTCCTATATTTCTATGTAGGACAGATGTTGGTATGTCTGTATCTGTATGACAGATGATAAAGCTTGACGTTAAGTAAATAACTGGAAGTCAAGAATTGGTTTGATTGGAACTATTCTCTAGTCCCAACCATGTGATAAACCATCAGTGCAAACTGTGCAAGGTAGTATATATGTATGGCTTAAAGGAAACCAGACTAGATTAAAATATAACACACGTTAGTGGTTTTCAAGTCACTACTTGGATTCCTCCCCAGGAGTTCCACAGTGTTGCTTTGGGAACTAATGGGAGAAAGAGGAGCCAGAGTGCCCCCGCCACATGCTTCAGACTAATTGTGAGAGGATGTGTGCATGTTCCTTTGTGTAAACAAATAAAACCTTTAATTTATTATATAGTAATTAGTGTTGGGCTTCTAATAAATGTTTGAAGACTGAGAAACTGTACTTACTGATTCTGAGATGCACTATTTTCCACATTTTAACATCTCTAAAATTGTATCTTTAGGCCGGGCACGGTGGCTCATGTCTGTAATCCCAGCACTTTGGGAGGCCTAGGCAGGTGATTGCAAGATCAAGAGATCGAGACCATCCTCGTCATCATAGTGAAACCCCGTCTCTACTAAAAACACAAAAAATTAGCTGGGCATGGTGGCACGTGCCTATAATCCCAGCTACTCAGGAGGCTGAGGCAGGAGAATTGCCTGAACCCAGGAGGCAGAGGTTGCGGTGAGCCGAGATCTCACCATTGCACTCCAGCCTGGGTAACAAGAGCGAAACTCCGTCTCAAAAAGAAAAAAAATTGTATCTTTAATATCTCAAAAATAGATGGTGTGTCACAGTTTAATGGACAGCATGTTTTTAGTAGTGATTCATAAAATAAAGGGGTATATTATAAAAATATAGACTGTTGAAAAATTTGGAAAAAAAAACTATTTTTACAAGGAGGAGTGATTTTATTAATATAACATTGTATTCTTAGCAACAGTCATCATGGAAACCAGGAAAATAAGACTTACATTTTATAACTTTGTCCCTTCCTATTGATTTCAGATTATGTTTGTTGTGTGGATAATCATAGGCTACATTGCCCAACATGTTAGCCACTTGCTCATTGTAGTTATTTACATTAATTAAAGTTAAATAGGCCAGGTGCAGTGGTATGTACCTGTAGTCACAGCTACTTGGGAGGCTGAGATGGGAGGATCTCTTGAGCCCAGGAGGTAGAGGCTGCAACAAGTCAAGATTGTACCGCTACACTCCAGCCTGGGTGACAGAGTGAGACCGTGTCTCAAAAAAAAAGATGAAAAATTAAATAAAATGTAAAATTCAGCTCTTTAGTCTAACTAGCCACATTTCAAGTGCCCAATTGCCACACATGACTAGTTGCTATCATATTGGACACTGCATTATTGCAATACATATAGTATAGAAGATTCCCATCATCATGGAAAGTTCAGTTGGACAGCACTGGTCACAGGAGTTTAGAACTCCTTACCCACAATTCCATAATACAAAAGGCTCTGGCAGAAGTTTGCCACAAACTCAGTTGGTAGCAAAACTGAGCTCAGCTCACATGAGGATATATGGTCTTTATACTGTTTATAGTGAATATTCATGCCTTTCACTGTAAAAATATACTGAAGAAATTTAGTAGGATTAAAAATGTGGGCTGCTGCTCCACACACTGCTGAGGCTGTTACCTTATGTACAGTATATATACTTTATTACAAAAACATGGCCTCAAAGATTTCATTTTATTTTTTTGAGAGAGGGGCTTACTTTGTCACCCAGGCGGGAGTGCAGTGGCATAATCATGGCTCACTGCATTCTCGACCTCCAAGGCTCAAGCAATCCTCCCACCTTTGTTTTCTGAGTGGCTAGTACAACAAGTGTGTACCACCATGCTAAGCCAGTTTTTTTAATCTTAGAGACAGAGTCCCACTATTTTGCCCAGGCTGGCCTCAAGAATTTCAAAAAAGGGACTGTGGACCTATTTTTGAAGAAAGGAACTTGTTTATAGTTTTTCTTAGTTTAATGGGAAGAAAAAGTAGATACTCTAATATCTATTAGTTATGTGATCTTGCACAAGCTATTTTAACATCTCTGTGCCTCAGTTTCTCATTTGTAAAATGAAGCCATAATAACATTTCTTTATCTACTTTACAAGGTAATATATTAAGGTAATACATCAAGATAGTAACTAAGAAAATACTATGGGCCAGGCATGGTGGCTCACGCCTGTAATCCAAGCACTTTGGAGGCCAAGGTGGGCGGATCACCTGAGGTCAGGAGTTCAAGACCAGCCTGATCAACATGGTGAAACCCAGTCATTTTTTTTAAAAAAAGAGGCTGAGGCAGGAGAATTGCCTGAACCCAGGAGGCAGAGGTTGTGGTGAGCCGAGATTGCGCCATTGCCCTCCAGTCTGGGTAACAAGAGCGAAACTCCGTCTCAAAAAAAATAAATAAAAATTAAGAAAATACTGTATAAACTATACTATATAGGTTGTTATTAGGAGGAAAATCAATTTGATTTGACATAGTTCATTTATGTTTCTCTTGTGATATTGATTCTTAGATCGGGGCTGCTAGTCGTATACCTGGAGTAACACCTGCTGCCATCATCAATCTGCTGAGATTTGTGAAGACCACTCAACAAAGACAGGCAGCTATGAATGAATCACCCAAGACTGATCAATACTTACGTGATACAGACAGACTTCAAGAGAGAGAGTTACAGCTTTCAATTCCTAAAAGATTTTTAAAGAGCATGTAAATAATTTGATCAATACAAAAGTATAGATAAAAGAATTATTTAGCACCTGTTAAAATAGCTTTATTAGGTTACTTTGGGTTGGCTGTTAATTTATGAATGGGACAGAGATCGTAACTGTGCTTTTTGGGGTATATGAAAAAACTAGGGCCGGGCCTGGTGGCTCAAGCCTGTAATCCCAGCACTTTGGGAGGCCGAGGCGGGTGGATCACGAGGTCGGCAGATCGAGACCATCCTGGTCAACACGGTGAAACCCCGTCTCTACAAAAAATTAGCTGGGCACAGTGGTGTGTGCCTGTAATCCCAGCTACTCGGGAGGCTGAGGCGGGAGAATTGCCTGAACCCAGGGGGCAGAGGTTGCGGTGAGCCAAGATCGCGCCATTGCCCTCCAGCCTGGGTAACGAGCGAAACTCCGTCTCAAAAAAAGAAAAAACTAGTTGTAAACAATTTGTACTCTTTCTCTAAGGAGCTCAAATACAAATAACTTTGTGCAGGGTTCCTGAAAGAGAGAGAGAGATAGTGAACCTAAAACCAAGCCTGAAAGAAAAACAACATGCAGATTTGCCTACTCATAGAGACTTTGCCTATTAAGTATACCAAATTAAAACTCTTATTCACCTTGTTTTGAGAGTTAGTAATCTTTTGCTTGGTTATACTAGGCTAGGAAGTAATATCAAAGCCCTTAAATTCTTAAGGCTAAAGACTTGAGATTATGTAAAATTATCCAGAATCATTCAACTAATACTATTGGAATATAGTATGTAGGGTGAAAGTTGACAGAAATCTGTACTACTTCAGGAAATCCTCAATTGTAATTATTTTTGAGCATTAATGAAAACCTTATAAAATAGAAAGATTAGAAATCAGCATTGTTTCCTATTATCCACAATATGGATACTTATTTGGTGACCTAGTTAAGGGAGAATTAAGTAAAGTTAGTTATTTTATATAATACCATAAAAATATTTTCTTAAGAAACTGTCGGGGGGAGGGAGCTGGGGAGGGATAGCCTGGGGAGAAATGCCAAATGTGGGTGAAGGGGAGAAAGGAAGCAAAACACACTGCCATGTGTGTACCTATGCAACTGTCTTGCATGTTCTGCACATGTACCCTAAAACCTAAAATGCAGTAAAAAATTAAAAAAAAAAAAAGAAAGAAACTGTCATGGCCATGGTTTCTTAACAGTGAAGACAGATCCATAGTAACTGGTGAATAGTGTTTTCCTGTTTTTTTTTTGAGACTGAGTTTCGCTCTTGTTACCCAGGCTGGAGGGCAATGGCGCGATCTCGGCTTACTGCAACCTCCGCCTCCTGGGTTCAGGCAATTCTCCTGCCTCAGCCTCCTGAGTAGCTGGGATTACAGGCACGCGCCACCATGCCCAGCTAATTTTTTGTATTTTTAGTAGAGACGGGGTTTCACCATGTTGACCAGGATGGTCTCCATCTTTTGACCTCATGATCCACCCGCCTCGGCCTCCCAAAGTGCTGGAATTAAAGGCTTGAGCCACTGCGCCCGGCGCGTGATTTCCTGTTTTTAAGTCAGAATGACAGAAAAAACAGAATAGTGCTGGTACCCTTCTTCCTCTCCAGTAGTTCAGTGGTATGTCATCACAAGGGTTAGAGTGGGATAATAAGCTGGGCCTTTTGACCACCTCCTCAGCTACCTCAACCATTCTGAGTAGACTGAGGGATGAACACAGCCAAATGGGCCAGACAGTCCTGCTTGTCTCTGGAATTCCAACCCGAATCTCTAGTGTTAGCCTAGGGAGAAGCTCCTGTGTCAGGTTCAGGCCAAAGCGGGTACTTTGGCTGCATATCTATAGTTAAGCCTGATTATGGGTGAGAGGCAATCAAGTATCTTGTTACTGTAATTGCATATGGCCACTTGGATGTAGCTCAGTTTTCATGGTTTTTTTTTTTTTTTTTAAATCTAATTTTAGTTTTTTCCAGAAAGCAGCAAGATCAGTAACAAATAAAAAGTATTTGGAGTGCTGGATAATTTAGCAATGATGAATTCTTTTTAATACTTGATTTAATAATGTCAAAAGGTGGTAACTTTTAGTTATAGCTACTCCTGGGCAAAATTCTTATTACAGAGACAATATTAATTACAATACCACATTGTATATATATTTTGAAAAGAGGCCAGGTGCAGCTGCTCACGCCTGTAATCCCAGCACTTTGGGAGACTAAGGTGGGTGGATCACCTGAAGTCGAGTTCAACATCAGCCTGGCCAACATGGTAAAACCCCATCCCTACTAAAAATAAAAAAATTACCTGGGTATGGTGGTGCAAGCCTGTAGTCCCAGCTAACTTGGGAGGCTGAAGCACAAGAATCATTGAACCCAGGAGGCAGAGGTTGAATGAGCCGAGATTGTGCCCCAGTACTCCAGCCTGGGTGACAGAGCAAGACTAGGTCTCAAAAAAAAAAAAGGGAAACCAAAGGTATTTAGTGTTTTTGTGCTACCCATTTAGCAAAAAACAAAATTCATTGTTTTTAAACTTTTTTTTCTGATTAAATACAAGAGTAAAAGCAGTGAATGGAGTGTCTTTTGAATGGAATATAACGGTTTATCTTAAACATAAATGCTATGGGAGGTTCTTGACAACTACAATTCTGGGCTAGTGACACTACACATATAAAGAAACTTTAAAGTTTCTTTATAATGAAGGTTTGTAATGCTATTCCATTACAAAAGTAACTGACTGAAAAGTGTTTAATAGAAAATATGTATTTTAGATTCTGTGATTTGCTTTAAGATGTGAAACTTCGTTATTTTATTTTCTTATTTTAAGTTGTTTATTGTAAGATAATTTACAAATATCTTGCTGTCTTCAGTAATCCAAACAATTGATAAACAGTTTCTTCTGACAGAGACAGCAGTAAGCTAAAAACAAAATCAGCCAGCTGAATTTTCCTTCTTTACCTCTTATCTGAGGATGGAACTTGATTTTCATTAATCCAGAGCTGCAGCACCAGAGATGATTTCAATCAACTCCTTTGTGATGACAGCTTGGTGGGTACAGTTGAATGTCAATGTCAATTTGTCAGTCATCTCAGGAACATTCTTGCTGGCGTTGTTCATGGCTGTTATCCTGGTGCTCTGCTCACTACTGGTGGACTCCTTCAGAGAGTAGTAGATGATGTTGACCAGGTTGTATTCTTGGTAATTTTGCAGCACATCAGCATCAACATCATCATAGATACTCTTACTCTCAGCACTTGCAATGGTATTAAGGGAAAAGATGGGCTTTTCCTCTGTCTTATAGGAGATGACAGACCTGAATTGATTAAAGACAATGGAGCCGTCATCAAATTCATATCCAGAATTTCGCAATTCAAGGGCAATGACTGACACATCTCCAAAAGTTGAAGGCTTTTTTTCCCACTTCTTTGAATGCTGCTAGAAACTGGTCAGAACGAGTCCTATAAAGTATGCCTCTGATTTTGTCACCAATTCCAACAAGCATAACTTCTTTCCCAGCTGCTGTTAGTGTAGCAACCTCACTTTTCATCTGTTTAGCAATAGAGGAATGAAGAGCATCACACAGTCCTTGATCTGAGGACACATCAATAAGGAGGTGTTTCTTCTTGCCTTCAGGCACCTTGATATCAGCTTTTTCTTTTTTTAAGACAGACTTTCGCTCTTGTTACCCAGGCTGGAGTGCAATGACGCGATCTCAGCTCACCGCAACCTCCGCCTCCTGGGTTCAGGCAATTCTCCTGCCTCAGCCTCCTGAGCAGCTGGGATTACAGGCACGTGCCACCATGCCCAGCTAATTTGTTTGTGTTTTTAGTAGAGACGGGGTTTCACCATGTTGACCAGGATGGTCTCGATCTCTTGACCTCGTGATCCACCCGCCTCGGCCTCCCAAAATGCTGGGATTACAGGCGTGAGCCACCATGCCCAGCCGATATCAGCTTTTCCAGACAGAGCCAAAGATCCCAATCCATATATTCGAGCTGGTTTCAGCTCTCTTTCAGCTCGGGCATATTTTGCTGCTGCTACCATTTTCATAGGCTTGGTAATTTTCTGGATGTTTTTGATGGACTTTAGTCACCTGGTAATATCTTTCAAAGTTGCCATATTTCGAACTTGAATCCATTGTGGCTGCAAGGTCCAGGCCAACAGCCCAGAGACACCCATGCCAGAGAACATGGTAGCCACAACCCTGCTGAAGGTCGGTTGTCTTTATTTTATTTTTTAGAGACAGGGTCTCACTTTGTTGCCCAGGTTGTAGTGCAGTGGCTCAATCATAGCTCACTGCAGCTTTGATCTCCTGGGCTCAGGTGATCTTTCTGCCTCAGCCTCCCAGGTGGGTGGGACTACAGGCAAATGCCACCATGCCTGGCTAAGTTTTAAAAAAAAATTTTTATGGCTGGGCACAGTGGCTCACACCTGTAATCCCAGCACTTTGGTAGACAGGCTGGTGGATCACCTGAGGTTGGGAGTTTCAGACCAGCCTGAATAACATGAAGAAACCCCATCTCTACTAAAACTAGAAAAAATTAGCCAGGCATTGTGGCACATGCCTGTAATCCTAGCTACTCAAGAGGCTGAGGTTGCAGGGCGCTGAGATTACACCATTGCACTGCAGCCTGGGCAACAAGAGCAAGACTCCATCTTAAGAAAACAAACAAAAGTTTTGTAGGAATGAAGTCTCGGTGTGTTGCCCAGTCTGGTCTTGATCTGGCCTCAAGTGATCCTCTTGCCTCGGCCTCCCAAAGTGCTTGGATTATAAGCATGAGCCACCACACCCAGCCTGACCTCTTTAAATCCACAATGTTTGTATGTTAACTTATACAAAAATTTTATTTTTTATTTTTATTTTTTTTTAAAGATGGGGTTTCACCATGATGGCCAGTCTGGTAGTAAACTTCTGACCTCAGGTGATCCACCCACCTCGGCCTCCCAAAGTGCTAGGATTACAGGCATGAGCCACCACGCCCAGCCAATTTATACGAAATTACATCACTTAATACGTCAAAACATCCTACTGTCTGGTGCTGCTAGCCAGAAGTGATACAGAATACAACACCCTAGTAATAAATCAGCTAAAAATATAACCTTAATGCAGTTACTTCATAGAAATCCCCTGACAGTACAATAATCAGCTGTCAACAAAATCTGGCCATACGTGTGACTTCCTCCAGTCACCACAGACCAGACTGCCTAGCAATTGGAGAAGCCAGTTATTTTTCCAATTTATTTCAACAGGAACACCAAAAAAGAAGAAATGACTAACAAACACTAAGCATTTCTAAAATTATTGGGGAGGAAGGATGAAGATAGGGACCTATGCTAAATTAAACCATTATAGCCCTGAAAACAAAGTTCCCTTATAGCAAAAAGCTTAAATTTTATGACTGATGGTTTTAAAAGTATTTTGTCAGTCCAGGTATAGTGGCTCACGCCTGTAATCCCTGCACTTTGGGAAGCCGAGGCAGGTGGATCATCTGAGGCCAGGAGTTCAAGACCAGCCTGGCTAATATGGTGAAACCCCGTTTCTACTAAAAATACAAAAAACTAGCTGGGCATGGTGGCATATGGCTGTAATCCCAGCTACTCAGGAAGCTGAGGCAGGAGAATTGTTTGAACCTGGGAGGCGGAGGTTTCAATGAGCTGAGATCGTCCCATTGCACTCCAGCTTGGGAAACAAGAACAAAACTCCATCTCAAAAAAAAAAAGTATTTTGTCATTTTTTAGTTTCAACCCAGATTGGAATAGCCATGGTTTTTCCACTTCAGAAATTTCAACTCCTACAAGAATGCCTTGTCTAGAAGTGGTCAGGAGTATCAGGAAGACCACTAACAGAGACTAGGGGTTTATTCTGATCTGGAAGAGGACTTATG